CAGGGTGACCACCCGCGGGCCATGCGGGCCCGATGGCGAAACAGGCTGCCCTTTGGAATTCCAGGGTAGTGATGGCTACCTGGAAGATGCTGGTGGCCACGCATGGGGCCCCGAAGCCGAGGTTGGAATTCCAGGGTAGTGATGGCTACCTCAAGAAGCAATGGCGCATGATTGCCAAGGGCGAATTGGGCTACATCCCGGCAAAACACATCGTGAGCGCGCTCCCGGAAGAAGGGGAACGCCCTTCATCCACCCACAAGAAGATCACGGTGGACGGCTGGGACAGGGAGGATGAAGAAGAGGTGAGGAGCCACCCTACATCTCGGCGCCAGCTGGAACGGTTGCACCTAACCTTCAGGACGACGCTCCTGATGTGCACGGCAGCACTGCCGCAATTTGGCAACCTGAGGGTCACCAAGGAGGAGTTGGATGACTGGTATGCCTGGTTCTATGGGGAGGACATAGCCGGCAGGAAACCTCCCCCGAGCGACACCACCTTGCTGTTTGCAGAGCGCAATGCATGGCGCAAGATTCACGAGATGGTGCACCAGGGCACCACTCTCTCCGAAGCCCTCAAGAACATCAGGGGCGACTTCCTCTTCTGGCAAGGGGAGGTCTATGAGCACCTCAACAGGGCGCCGACGAAGGGGAAGAGCAAGAGCAAGGCACCCAAGGTGTGGCAGACTCAGTGGGAGAAGCCCAAGAAGGGGGGAAAAGGATCTTGGTCGAAGGGGGGAAAAGGATCTTGGTCCTCGGGGCCTACCCATCCCAAGCCGAAGGGCAAGGGCGGCAAAGGGAAGTCCCCCAACACCTCCTCGACCCCATGGCCAGACCACTGGGCTTTCAAGAATCCCAAAGGGGTGGCGTACTGCAGGGATCATCACCTTCACAACAAATGCCCTGGATCATGCGGTCGATCCCACAACTGCCCGGTCAGGAAGGATGGGTGGGTGTGTGATGCCCCCCCAGCGAAGCATGTGCCACAGGCATGCCCACACCTCCCCAAGTGACAGGAGGCCACTCAGGGTGCCATCGGCCCGGTCTCCGAAGGGATCACAGGCCACCAGTGCGAGAGCGCACACAGCGGGGGAGAGCCAATCTCACCGGCCCCGGAAGCCCCTCCACCGAAGAAAGGGAGTGGATCCAGCCAGGGCACTCCAGAAGGGCGGGGGGACAAGCCCCACCTTCCCCTGGATGCAAGACACCCCGGAAAGACTGAGGTCCAGACTAAGGTGGACGCCACCCGGTGCCGGAGTCGTCGAAGCCGACCCTCATCCTGCTGTACGCTGGGAAGGACGACGCGGGGGCCCTGGATGCCTACCTCCATGCCTACAACCCGGCCTTCTCGGAGTACATTTGGGCAGTGGACATTAACATGCTGGGAGACGAGCCATACTCTACAATGTGCTCCATGGCCATGGCGGGCAAGGTCGCCTTTGTGGGGGGCGGCCCCAACTGCAGAACGTGGAGCATTCTCAGATGGTTCCCAAACCGGGAGGCCCGCCGCCGGTGAGGGGCAGGGCGGAGCAGACCCTGTGGGGCTTGGAGGACCTGGAGCCCGGGTAAGGGAGGACACGGACAACGACAGCGTGCTCATGCTCCGACAGATGTACCTGACCTCGCTGGCCTACCAAGGACTAGGTCAACGAACGGTCCCGCAGGTGGGCCCGATGGACCCAATGAAATGCAGCAAGAGCCCGAGCGCAGCGAGGTGGTCATCGATCTGGGTCACACGGGCCTATATTCAATGGGCGAACGCACTCCACCACTCCCTCATCAAGTTTGACGAGTGCCGCCTGGGCCAGGTGGTAGTGAAGTCCACGACATTGTCAACGGACCTTCCCCTTCACCGTTGGCATGATCTGCGATGCAACCACGGAGCTCACCCCAGGGGGGAAAAGCTCAACTCCAGTGACCTCAGCCGGTACAGAGCAGATGATGCAGCCATCCTCTGCAGAGCGGGACCCGTCCTGGAGGCGCTGAGGCCGGGGGCACGGTGCCCCAAGTGAACCCAACGACCCCCCCGAGGCGGCAGAGGGAACCATCTCCCCACACGCCGGGGGACAACAAGCGCCAGTCCCTGAGGCTGAAGGCCGGCCAACAAGCGTTGGCGGGACTAACCTTGGGCTCACGTCCGGTCTCGGCCTCAGACAATCCTGAGGTCCGGACACCAACACAGCCGGCGGGCAGGGAGGTCGAACTACGGGGTGAAACTCTTCCCCTTCAGCCATGGGCACGCCATTGCATGGAGATCTCGGATCGGCCCACCACCCTGCCGATCACGCACGACCCAAATCTCTCCGACAAGGTTATGTACCTCCAGATGGCCTTCAAACAGCGCCCCCTCAGGGACGGGGGTGGGAAGCCCTCACTTGGACGGCTGGCCCCGTGGACTCGGCCATTGTCCAAAGCAGCATGGGGGCCAAGATCTGTGTCCTCACGTCGCCATGGGGGGACAAACTCCAGGAGTCGCTCTCGTTGGGGGACGGGTCACACCCCTTCCTGGAGGACCTGCAGCGGAAGGCCAACCCTTCTTCCTGGACATCTTGCACAGCCTGGCGATGAACATTCAGGACCCCGACCACCAGTTTCCTCGGGGTCCCACTGGGGGTCACGGACCCACCCCTAGTCTCGCCGGGCATCTGGCCACTCAAGAAGGAGCTAAAAGGGGAGGAGCCGGAGTTTTAGGAACTCCCTCATCCCACGGGCCGGGGTAACTACCCCTCAGCGGATCACTTCAGTGAGCTCATCCGTAGCACATTCCTGGAGGAGGTCCCCATGGGCATGGTAGATGGCCCTCTCACCAAGAGGTAGAGGCAGCAGCGCGCTGTGGCTGCAATATGGAGGATCTTTGCCCAGGCCCCCTAGCGGGCATCGACGAAGGGGACAAGATCCGCACCATCTACGATGGCTCGGTGGGCGGGGCCAATGACACCATCAGGAACCAGACGGTGGAAAGGACGACGGCTCCGACGGTGCTGGATGGGGTACAAGCTCTTCATTGGCTACATGCGGCAGCTGAGGAGGGACCTCCCTCTCAGGGTGCCCCCGGCCCCGAGAGGGAGGTCGCTAAACCTCCACCCGAGGGCTGGCAATGGCCGGAGCCGGGCACCAGGTGGGTGCTGCTCAAGGCGGACGTCACCAAGGCCCACCGGAGAGTGAAGGTCCTCAGGAAGGACTGGCGGTTCCAGGTGGCCTCACTGGGGGAAGAATGGTGGGTGAACAAGGTAGGCACATACGGCATGGCCAGTGCCCAATCCTACTGGGGACGCCTGGCAGCCCTTCTACTCAGGGTCCTCTACGCACTTTTCCCTCAAGTGGATTGGAACTTCGTCTTTGTGGATGACTTCCTGTGGCTGCTTCGCAGCGAGGGGGCAGTGAACTTGGCGGTGGCGCTGTTGGCAACACTCCTGGCCTTGGGCACCCCGCTTAGCTGGAAGAAGACACATTTGGCGGAGGTCAACACGTGGCTGGGCTTCGTGGTCCACCCGAACATCCCGCAGGTTCTCATGGCCGCCAACAAACACATCCTGGTGATGGAGGTCTTGCAGATCATGGTGGAAGGGCAGGCGATGCACTCAAAGGACATCGAGAAGGCCCATGGGCAACTGCTCGATGCTTCAGCCACTGTGGGCCTGGAGAATGGCCACCACCACGGTGGGGAAACCCCCTAAGGTGGTCAGGATGCTGGCGTTCATGCTGCGGTTCCTCTTCAACACGCCCTTCGTCCAGTACTCCCCTTACTTGCCGAAGTCCTCTTGGTGGGGTTGCAGCGATGCTAGCGCCTCGGATGAAGGACTGGCATTTGTGGGAGGCTGGTGCTCCAACAAAGTGGAGCCGGAGAAGAAGGAGGTGTACTGGTTCCACGAGCAGATCCACGTGGAGGAGTACCCGTGGGCATTCAAGCATGGGGATCCCAAGCGGAGGATTGCGGCTCTGGAAATGCTGGGCACGCTCTTCCTCTGTAACATGATCCTCACACACCAAGGCCCTCTGTCCTCCCGGGTCCGACTCCCGGTGGGCAGTGACAATCAGGGCAACGTCATGGCGATGCTCAACCTTGGATCCAAGAAGCCCTACACCGCGGCTATCCTGATGGAGCTGGTCTTCCTGCTCCACACCCATGGCTGCTCGCTGGCGGCCAACCACGTGCCCCGGGAATTCAACCAGTGGGCCGATGAGCTGACGCACCCAGATTTCTCTGGGTTCGACCCTTTGCACAGAGTTCCTAAACAGGAACTCTGCGAGGAGTTCATTTTTCTCCCGCGTCTCCTGAATGGAGATGCATTTGATCTTAGCGTGGGCCCACCCATGCTCCCGTGACCGGAGCCGGTGGGTGACTCACTTCCCCTGGTGGCAGACCCCCCTGTGGCCTGGGTGCCCCTGGCCCCGGCCCAGGGTATCAGTCTGCACACCCGTTCTAGAGTTTGTGGTGGGTGGCCCATGGGGCCCACCCAGCCGTAGACATCTGACAGGGGAAGATGAGTCCCTGGCACCAACACATTGCTTGGATAAAAGAGTTATCGCTTGCTTGTGTGGCGCCGTTTGGTTAGCTTACATACACTTCTCCAACTTCGTACGATCGAAAAACAAATGAAGCGCGCGATCGAATTGCGCGCTCGCGGCGCAGTAGCTCGCGCTGGACTTTAACGCTGCCAACGCAAAATTATTGATTTTCAGCTGGCACGATTGATTTGTTTACCACTGTTGTCTGCGATTGATTTTAGGTCCTGCGATGGCTTTTTCAATATCGGACGCTTTGGGTTCATTTGCGAATCGTTTCATTGGCTCATACCTTCAAGAAAAAGAAGACGGAGCCTCTTCGGAAAAAAGAAGAATAATTTGGAGATCGCACACAAGGAAAAGGAAAATCACCGTTTGCTGAGTCTCCTAAACAAAGACACACCCATATGATGGAGTTCCCAGTGGTTTGTCCTTCAGATGCCACCCTTCACAAACCTCCAGACGCCCATTCCCTCGTCAGATCATTCGTCACGTAGGTGCTGGGACCTTCTAAGCCACTCACTGGCTGGGCGATGGAAGATCTGGCCGGCGCCTACCAAAGGCGGAGGGGAAGGCTTGTCGCTACGATGGTTTGCACCCCCTAAACTGCTACCCCAGGGGCTTAATGGGCTGGGGGTGACTGCTGTTTCTGGTGGTACCATGTTTGGGGCGGGAAAGGGAGAAGGAAAACTGCACATTTGGAGGGTCCCAACCGTAATAACCAGTTTCTAAGATGGCTTCCACGACCCCAAATCGCTCCTTGGGAAAACCCGGGTATGTACTTCTTAAAAAGGTGTCTGGTGGCCCAAACAGGGGACAGTGGGAACCCGGATTAATGGACCTGGCCTCGAAAGAAAAGGGGGTGTTCCCATCCAAAAAACTCCGGGTCCGGGTGCGGCCATGAGTTTTACTATGGGATAGATAGCCTCCACAATGGCTGCTGGACATAAGAAAGTGACTGAGAGCGGATGAACATGCTTGACCCAGTGGAAGCCCAGGATCACTAAACAGGCAGGTGACAAATTTGGGACTAGGGGGGGGGTAGGTCACGTCCCAGTCTAGAGGAAAGCCTTCTCAATTTTTGAGCGAGCACCCTGAAGATCTGCCATTCATCCTTGCTGCTTCGCCCTCGCCTGTCTTTTTTTTTAACCCCCCCATTTCGGCCCCTATTGCAGCGTCTGGCTCGCAATCGCAAGCCATCCGCCAAGATGTCAAAGCCCGCCAGGTCAGCTCTCCGAACTTGTCCAAAACTCATGAAGGAGCCAAGAAATGGATATGAGATTTAATAGGGAACCACCTCCAAAGTGGCTGGCGGACATGAACCCCCACCGAGTTTTGATGTCCACCAAGGAGTCCGTTGTATTCTAAGATTAAAAATGAAGAAATCGTTTTTGCGAGGGGTGCCAAGTCTGTAGGTTTCCCATTTGAGGTTCTCATTAATAAACTGCCAGGAAGCCCGAAATTGTGGGGTGTGATGTGTGCAGTGTTGGTGTCTTTTGGTTTCTCTTTTAAAGCCATTCAAAAAGAGGGTCTCCAATTTTAGTGGCTGCTCCTTGCTTACAAATGCAACCATATCTAACCCCTTACGCATATCTAAAGCCCCGCGTCCCTCACTTTGCACAGATCATTCTGAGCCAAACTCGTATTCGCAGACACGTTCCGCAGCGATAGCTCGTGTTTAACGCTTCAGACCTTCAGTCGAGCATCAAGTGACCTGTTGAGAACACCTCATAGTCTAGTTTACCTTCGGAACTGCATTTTTAGTTTTGCAAGAAATCACCAGACTCACCTGTAGTACTTGTGGTGGGAGCGAAAGCTGAGGTTCGCAAAGCATGGATCTCCGTTGTTTCCTTAACTGCCTTTAGACTTTAACTTTTTGATAATTTTTTGGGGGGTTTTCCACTAAACCCCCAAAAAGTGAAAAACTTTTTGCAGGGTCGTTGCAGCAACCAAGTTTCCAGCCCCGTTGAAAGGCGTCAGCTGCCGGAGAAGGCGAAGCCGCTGCTGCTGGGCGCCCTGCGAGTGGAGTGCTCCAAGGACTGGCAGCGCGTTTTTTTTTTTTTTTCCCGATTCAAGGCTCCCAGGGTGGGTCTAGCGGGTAAAGTCTAGGGTCTAGGGGTCTTGGGTGTCTTGGGTCTTTTTGGTCTTGGGTCTAGGGTCTGGGGTCTAGGGTTTGGGATTGGTCGGGTCTAGGGTTTGGGATGTTTTTGGAGGTGTCCAAGCGAAACTGACGAACCAAATTGGGATGAGGTTCAATTCCCTTAGATGATCCGGGAATAGCTAAATTAGTAGTAGGCCTACTAGGGGTAGACACTGAGATAAAGGGAGAGTTTTGATTGTTTCGATAAGGGAAGCTGAGGTTCAAGCAGGTCCCTTTGTTTCAGCCAAGGGCTTGTATTCTGGGAAACTGCTAAGACTGCTTGGACGGTGGCCGGAGCGGTTTTGGCCAAACTTCAGACGAATCAGCAGGCGAGTCGGTTTCCTTTGAGGGTTTCCCTCAACAAAAAACAACATAGACAGACCCATACCACAACTATATTCTACTCGCAATGTTCAAAGGTAACTTATTTTTTTTGTATAGTACTAACAGTCAACCAGGCTAACAGTCAACCAGGTTTTTGTCGAAGGACTTAATCATCCAAATCTTGGTTTTATTTAGACCAGAGGTACAATCCAAAGGTCCACTTGGGTAGAAGCCCCAAGAGTTCGGCTCAGGACATCATCAAGCTGCCCTCTATGGCACGGTTGCTGGACTCCTTGCTGGAGCTGCATGAGGCGGGTGTCGAAAGGGTGTCTGGTCGTTGTCGACGGCCAAGCCCTGGTCGCATGGATGGGTCTGTCTGAACATAGGGGGTGTCTCTATGACAGAATTACGAGCAGCCTACCCGCAAAGGGGTCCAACGAGGCCAAGGGTTCGTAAATATTGATACCCTCAATCACTTAGCTGTTGAGTTGACTCACTTGTTTTTTTCCTGGGCGGTAGATGCTTCATGATTTGGTGACCTTAAACTTTCTCTGGCCAGTCAACTCAGGTTAGTTGAAATGGACTAAGCTTAGAGGCCCAATAATCCTACCAAATTCTGGCCAGAACTCTGGCTACAAGCATGGGGTAACGTCTTTTGTTGATTGAAACGGCAGAGACACATTGGGAGCTGAAGTTCATGGACCAATCAAGCACGCTTTCGTTTGGGCCGCATGGGGGTGCATGTCCGGTGTGACCTGTATGTGCGGCGCCAGGCTTCCACTAGTTTGAATTATTTCAACGGAGACTTGAGCCACATCAAGCGCACAATTCTAAGTTGAAGTCTACCTTGGGATAGTCCAACAAATGGAGCCCTGGACAGCGCAACATGCATACAGAAAGTGCGTTTGTTCATGGACCCTGGGGCCACAAGTGTCCTTTTCATAGGTCTGGTTCTATTTACCAGGGCCATCTATCCAAACCGGTCACATAGGAGGTTTTTTTTGAGCTGGCCGGATGACTTGGGCTTTGTAAAGATCCCTTACTGTGCTCTTGGTGGCATTGAAGCCACGCGGAGTTTGCTGGTGCTCGTCGAATTTCAGACACGGTTTCGCAGCCACTTGGGGGTTCACTTGAAGAAGAGCATTGTGTATGGAATTGGGTCTGTTTTTCTTCACTCTAAACCTTGGCAGGTTTTCAGGTCTCTAGGTTTTTCTTTTGGGATTTCCAGTCGGCAACAAACAAAGTGGTTTGCTACCATTCCAGGGGATGTTGCCCCATGCTTTTCAGTCATCGGTCTTTTCAATATCCCGTTCTTTCTGGGTTTCTGGAGGAGTTCTAGAAAGAAGGATCCCCGGAAAGAATGGAATTGGAAGGTACCCCAAGAACCGTAGGGTTTGCCAATCCCATGTCATTCGCATTCCTTCACCACCGGCCGGCCCCGCAGGCCACTGGTGACCGCGGGGGTCTCGCTGCGTGCCAGGACTGGGATGCGTAAAGTTGGGGGGGGGGAAGGGAGGCAGGGACTCGCTGGACCCAGTTTTCATGGTTTTCCTGGCAGTGGGGGAGATTCCCTGCAGGCCAGGCCAGCTTGAAGCTTTTGTCGCGCCCCTCGGTGAAGGCTGAAGCCGGGCCACTCGAGTTCCTTTGGCTCATAATGGCGAGCTTGCCGATTCAAAGGTAACAACGCCTTGGCAATGCTTGAATAATTGGGCGGTAAATCAGTGAATCATAGGTTTGGCTTATTGGCCATTCAAACGGGGGTAGTCTCACAATAGCGGAACCCCAAATAACCCTTTTTTCCTTAGTAGCGAACTATTTGTTGATACCACCTTTCAGCCAAGTGTCAAGCTTGGAACAAGCTAACGAACAGGGCGGAGCGGAGCGGAGCAACCTAGCAAAGAGGAGGGCTGGGACGGTTGGGATGGGTTCGCGACGTCACTTGTGATGAAGCTTCCCTATCCGGGGATGCGGGGATACCCGGATTCAGGTCTTCGGTGAATATCTTGTGATGTTGAGCGAACCATGGCTTCGGCCAAAGGCTTCCCACAACGCGATGTTTGGGCCCTTGTCCTTGCCAGCTTCTTACTGCCGCGTTGAGCATTTGTTTACATCGGCATGAGGATTTGTGTGTGTGCAACAACCGTGGGGTATTCCAAGAGTTCAAACCCATAGCCATCAGTCAAAGTTGTTGGTTCAATGGCCTCCTGTTCAAGACCCTCATTTCAGGTGTTTTCCCACAATGGAAAGCTGGAGATTTCTATTTCGGAACCATTTTAGATTCCACCAAGGGAGATTACCCTCCTAAGAACACTTCACTGTTCTTGACGTGCTTTTAGTTTGTCAGTTGTTTGCTTTCGTTCATGGTTCGTGGGAGCCGCTGTATACAAGCATCTCGATGTTTGCTACCATAATGGTACCGTTTGGTTTGGGAAGACAAGTGGGGAGTTGTAAGAAGACAGCCGCTGTTTGGGATTCCGGTGCCGCCCAGGGCGCGTTTGGTTCGTTTTTACTAAGGGGAGGGCGAACAGGACCCCTATTCTTGACAACAAGAAGGATCCCTGTTTCTTGACGGCCTCTATTTTCGGGGAACTCTTACCCCGAAAAGCTTGATAACTCCCGGCCATCCGGTTCCTTAGCTTTCTAGCTTTTTCGTGTTTAGTGGGTTGGAAATCCATTTTGACACCAAGTTCAAGTCACTTTTAGCCGGAGGGATCTGAGAGACGTGTCCAGAAAAAATCGAGCAACGTCAGGAGGCCATCAACGGAGGCCTGGCCAACTTGCAGCGGCGAGGGGTGGACCAGTCCGAGGCGAGCGGGTGGAAAACTGGGGCTGGGTTCGAAGGGGTTGAGGTTGGGCCCCCGCCCCAAGGTTTAGGGTTTGGGGTTTAGCTCCCCCAAAACAAAAACAGGAAGGAAAGAATGTGGTTTGCCTTTTGGTAGACTGCTTAAGATGGGACTTAGATAAAACCACTGCAAGGGTTCTCAAGGGGTTTTGGCCATGGCACACGTGGTTTCAGTCTTTTGTCGCAGTGGGAACACTGACCCCTCGATGTCTCCGATGAGAAACTCGAGAGGCGCAATTTTATTTGTCATGCCCAGTGGATGGCAAGCCACAAAAGGGCAACCGGACTTGTTGGGCCGAAGGGTGGGGAAGCCCCTTGGTTACCTTAGAGGGCAATAGAATCACTGGGCTGGGTTGCGGCTAAACCTCTTGTTTTTCTCGGTTCGATGATGTCGAAGCATCTCATAGGGTTCAAAGCCACCCAACAGGGGCTGCGCTTGTCTCTTGGTTCTTGTATTTCGCAGCCCCAAAAAGGATCCGCACTGCCCTCGCAGCCCAAACCATTTGCACAACAACTCCCATCAACTCCCCTAGTTTTCGCACATGTCTGTCCATGGAAGTGATACTTATTGAAAGGTATATGTGTCTGTGTGTCTTTCTTCCTGTTTGGAGGGTGCCCTTTGCCCCATTTGGTTGGCTTACGGGAAACCAGAAGGACACCCCATGAGTTGTTGAAGCCCATAGCTGTCCTTTTTGGTTGGTTTGCTTCAACAAATCGAAGGCCCTGGTTTACCTGGTGGTTCAATCATCTATGCGGGAAACCAATCCATTTTCCAAAAAGGACACCTATGTTGAAGCCCCCCGTGAGCCCAACGCGCCCCCAACGCGATCCCAAGTCCGATCCGCAGGGCGCCAGCTACGCGGCGTTGCTCCAGAAGATTGCGAAGATGCTGCCGGGAAGCCCCGGGAATCCCCCACGCGACGGTTCGAGCGATGCGAGCTGGGGATGCAGTACCTTCGTCTGCTGACATGAATTCATTTTTGTTGTTATGCTTGTTATTATTATTGCTATTATTATTAATATTGATATTATTATTAAACACGGAACGCTCATGAAGTGCGGAAAGCTGTCTGCGGCTTTTAGACCGGGCGCGTGGAATGGGCGGGAATTCCCCGCGCCGCCTTCAGCATAATCGCCGGTCGACTAAACAGAGAGAACACATGCAACAAAAGGCTTCGAAGAAGCGACAAGCAAACAAATTCCCTAATTAGCCCAAAGTCCACGGGACGCGGAGCCGAAGGCCAGGTACACAGCACAGCGCTTAGGCTGTGTTTTCCCACATGCCGTCAGAAAGTCTGAGGTTCCATCACCGGCAAATTGTTATTACTATTATTAGTGGCATTATTATTGTTGTTATGATTACTAATGATATCATTGTTATTATGCTGATTTTGGTTGTTCTTATTGTTATTACTCTTGCTTTTTGTTTATCATTGTTATTGTTATTATTATTGTTTATTATTATTATCATTATTATTATTGTTTATTATTATTATCATTATTATTATTATTGTTTTTTTATTTGTTATTACTATTGTTATTACTATTGCTTTCATTTTCATTGTTTTTATTCTGTTCGGTTATTATTCGTATTACTATCATTATTGTTTTAATGATGATTGTCATTGTTATTTTCATTGTTGTTGTTCTTACTGTTAGCATCATTATTGTTATTATCACTGTTTTCATTAATATTATTGTGATATTTATTATTAACATTCCTGTTTTACTTCTTATTATCGTTTTCTTATTGTTATCATGATTGTTTTTATTATCACTATTTTCATTTGTATTATTGTTATTTTCTTATTAACATTATTGATTTGATTATTGTTATTGTTTTTTGTTATTGTTATTATGACTTCTACCATTTTTACTGTTTTGATTAATATTATTGATTTTCTTGTTAACATTATTGATTTGATTCTGGTGATTGTTTTTATTGTTATTATTATTATGTTTATTGTTGTTATTATTCTTCCTGTTTTTTGTTTGTTTGTTGTTTTTTATAGTCATCATTATTTTATTATTATTAATTATTTGTTATTATTATTGTTATATTTTTTTATTATTGTCGTCATGATTATTGTTCTTGTTGTTATTATTAATTTCCCTTGTTGGCTTTAAGGGAAATCGATTTCACTGCTGGACATATGTTCGCATGTTTGCCAGGGGGCGAAAACGCAAACGGAAGGTACGGAGGTTCATTTTGGTGATTTTTTCATTTTACACTTGACTTGGGAGAAGTCGCCGAACTGCGGGGCAGGGATTGGTGCTTGCTGGGTGGAGAGGTCGGTGGCGGTGGGTGGGTGGCTTGCTTTAAGAGAAACAAGGATCCAGAAAAGAGAGTTCTAGTTTTGGAAACCGGCCTGACCACAGGGTCCTGCAGCTTCTTTGTTGCTGGACCTCTAAAAGTCGCGTTTTGTCATTCGAACCCGCCAGGTAGGGTTGGGCAACAGCATCCTCCTGCGGCCAATATGTTGTTTTCGTGGCCCCAGCAGAAAGCACCATGTGTGTGTATTGCCGGTCACGTTGAATGGTGGCAAGAATCCCCGCACGTGCAAAGCAAATCGACATTTCAAGCTTTTGCCCTGAGACAAGCTTTCAAAGGTTAGCCGTTTATTTTCAGGTCCTTTTTGGACAGGTGCAAATATGGTGCCTTGCAAAATGCAAGTAATGTTGGGGCACATGCAAGAACAGGTGGAGCAACCTAACGCGTCGACAATACAACCGAGGTCTTGATATTGCGTTACGAGGTGCTGAATGATACAGGCACGCTTTAACTTTCAGGGTATCACACTCAAATGGCTATGAGTGTCACGGGAAAGTGCTGCCAAAGTTTGGGTTGCTGAGATCCCATTTGTTGTGTCCACCGAAGGGTGCATTTCTTTCAACCACTCGCCGCGAGGGCCTTGTCAGAACTCCAATCGGGCCTAAAGAAGCGTGCTATTGCGTTTGTTTCCAAAGATCAAGCCTTTGAATCGTGGACTCGACAAAGCCCCCATCATGGATGTTGCTGCAACGAATGGGTTTTCCGCATTAAACAACTAAAAGTTAAAACTTTTAGCACAAAAGCAGATTTCGCAACCGCACAAGTGGTTGGTGGACATGGACATGAATCCCCTTTCCATCAAACCTGCTTTCTGCTCTCCATGAGAGCAACCGCGTTTCCAACCAAAGATTCCCGAGGCTGGCCCACGACGTTCAAAACCGGCCGCTGGCCGCGGAGCTCCTGAGGGAAGGCCGAACCTTTTTGCGCTGCCGTGGGGTTCGGATCCAAGAGCCCTTTCATTTTGGATTTTGAGAGAGGATTTGTTGAAAAAGCAGGTGCAGGGGCGGCAAGCCAGTGTTTAGATATGTTTTGAGGGGATTTTTTCCCTTTGGGCGAGCCCCAAAACTTCAGACATGGTTGGATCGTCAACTCTTTGTTGTTTACCCCTCATTTACTCCTTAAGGGTTTCCCTTAAGGGGTCCAGGTGTTCAGAAGTCTGCTTGCCAGATGCCTGAACAGGCAAGGTGTAGTTTTTTGAGTGTACACCCATTTGGCTTGCGGCAATGAGCTGCTTGACCAACTTGCCAAGTTGGTTTCCTTTGAAGCCCGGACCCTACAAACCCTTTCGGTGCCTAAGGAAAGCCCCAACACAACCCTCAAGCTCGAATCGCCAGGTCTGCAGTACCTGTCCAAGGCGACGCCGGTGCAGCGGTGCTCCGAGATGGGTGGGCGCGGAGGGGCCCCGAGATGTGGATGTGCATGTTTGAGTTTTGTTCAATGGGGGTGGGGGTGTGCAGCTTGCCAAGATGTTAATTTTGGGTGTGAGAGTTCAATGGGGGTGGTGGGGGTGTGCAGCTTGACAAAAAGATGTGAATCTTGGTTGTGAGACCATTTGGGGACGCCATTTAGGTTGGTGATGTCGACCAACTACTTTTGGGCGTTTGCCCCTTGAAAGAATCATGGCCGAACGGAAATATACATTCATGTTTTGCCAGTTGTTCCTTTTCTTCATTTTTTTTTGGGGGGGGGACGCTTTTGGGGCTTTTTTGGGGTTGGTTTTGAAGGGAAAACCGACAAGAAACCACCCGTAGGCGCTTTGCGATTAGGAGAGATCTACAACTGAGGGACTTACAACCATGCTAAGGGAGTTGCCAACCATGCTTCCAACCGCTTACTTACTAAGTACCTTTCCACTTTACCCAACCCCTTTTGGGGCAATCGAACACTTTTTCACTGGGAGTCCAAAGTCCAAGCAGCAGGCAGCCAGGGCTCGGTTGGGCTCTTCAAACATGCCTCCCATTTGTCCACCAACACCAGTTCTTTCTTGTTGTTGGGGAAGGTTGCCCTGCAAGGAATGTACCACCAAAAGGAGCGACCTTTCATGTCCAAGCGGACTGATGGGGCGGAGGTTGGCATCAATATTGGGACGGGAGTGAGGCGCCTGGCACCTGCAAGAGATGAGCAGGACGGGAGGGGGCCTTGAATCGCCGTCGCGGCCTGGGCTCATTTTCGGCTGCGCAGGGTGGTGTGCCTCTTGTATCCCTTCGGGAGGTCTGGTGACATGTTGTGTATTTCTGCATTTATTCTGTACAGGGTTCCTCACCCCCAAGAGAGCTCGCTGAAAAACTGGCCCAGGTCAGTGTAAATGCAAACCCGGGAAGTATGGGGACCTTGTATGGAGCACTCCTGACCAGCCCCTGCAAGTGCAGAAGGTTGTTGCCCAAATCAGGGCTTCCAACTTTGGTTTTGGTTTCCCCGCTTGGTTTCATAACACAACCCCTAACCCTTGGTTTCCAACTTTGGTTTTGGTTTCCCCGCTTGTGGTTGCCCTTTGGTAAGAACGCCAGAAAAAAGCATTCAAGCTGCTTCGGAATTGACGGTTCTAGCTTGCGTGCAGTTTGAGCTTTTGCATGTTAAAGACTCTCGAGCTTTCTCTCAAATGAGGAACTGATGACATTTTCGGCAGTCCAATTACCGTGAAAATTGGGGTACCACGAACATCCACGAACCGTCCATTTGCTTAAGAATATTTGTTGTTTTCCCCTGTTGGTTTTGAAGGGAATCTATCACTACTGGAAATATTTGTATGTTTTGCCAGGGGGTCTTAACCAAATGGAAGGAACTGATCGATTTCCTTTTGGTTGCCCCTTAAGCCAACCCCAAAAGGCACGCTCAAAAAAGAACGGAACACAATTTCCTTACCCCCAGTGAACATCCCAATCCCCACTAAGATAGACTAAAATGGGTGGTGCACCTACCCCAAAATGGTACTATTGGTTTTGACCCACAGCCACATGAGCAAGGGATCAATGAAGCACCCAGATTCGTAAGTCGTACTATGTTCCGTGGCTTGATGCGAGTCAGAGATCTCAACCCGAGTCGAGATCCATAGCAACTCAGCTCGTATTCCCCATATTTTAACTCATCATGATAGCTGCCTTAGGCCATAGGGGCATATATATATATACTGCACACCAGTCAGGTTTATCGTATTTAACTGGGGTTGCACAGGGTTCTTGCCGGGGAGGTTTAATACATGCCTCCCCATGCTTCCTTCTGGAGGATGTTCAACAAGGAAACACCGCCATCTCGGTAGGAGCGGATCTACGTCCCGAAGGCCTGACCAAAGCAGAGTTGTTCTAGGGGTATCCCCTTTTTGGGGTTGGTTTTCAGCGAAACCAAAAAAAAAGCCAAAGCCCTTGTAAGTGTTCTGATTCCTTCGACACAAGCCGCTGGTTTTGCGGAACGTAGAAACCCAGTGAGTCAGGTGGGTTTGTCTCCAAATCAGGGAGGTTTCCGGGCCCCCCCGAATGTAAAGTTGCCCCTTGGTTTTGCACAAAAATGCCACCCTGAAAAATCACACCTGTTCAGGATTTGGGTTGGTGGCTTTGGGATTGGAACCAAAAAACCACCGGGCTCCAAACCACAGCATGTACAGCGATGCCATGACAAGGTGACGCCTTGTGGGAAGCAAACTTACCCGCAGAAAGTTGGCCAGGGTAGTTCTAACAGGGAGCCACCTCGTTCGCATGAACCTCCTACAGGATGTCCAAAGGGCCCAACAGGCAAACATGTTTCATTTGAGGGTTCCTATTTTGTGGTTGGTTTAAAGGGAAACACACAAAAGAAACACATCCATTTGGAGGGTTCCCTTGAAACATGACAAACCTATATTAGATGTTCCTTTAAAAGAGGCAACAAACATAATTCTAAGGTGTTATTTAGCAATACGGCATCGGGCATCGCCTTTCTTCTGGGACAAGGTCAGATTCATTTCAAGCTCTTCCAACGTATCTAGGAAGCCTTTGTTTGATGTTCCCTTCATTCATGAATTGAGACATGTTTGTGCCTAGTTAGAACATTGCAATATGTGTTTTTGGTACCAACTGCTGTTGTTTTTTTCCATGTTGATATTGTTGTGGGTGTTCCTGCCAAGGAAGGAGAGCGGTTGGGGCACTTAGGGGCAGCTAGTTATTTTCCTCGGTAGTGATGTTGTTTGTGTGTGCGCGTCGCAGAGTGTGGTTGCAATACATCAAGAGGAAACAAACCATTTTGACACATACCAAAATTATGAGGCTCTCCCACTGGGCGCTTCACAAGGAAACTGATACCAATGGTTGCTTCCCAACTTGGTAAAGCCATGTTCGGCCGCTTGGCCGCTGGCTTTCGGTTCCAGTCAATTCCCAGTCACGAGGTTTAGAATCCCATTTGCACCCGAAAGGGGCAGCCACGTATGGAACTCGCCTTGCCTTGACATGTCTTTCACCTACACCATTCTATGGATGAAAGGGATGGCTCTCTCTCTCTCTCTCTCTTTTTTGTTTCTCTCGCTCTCTCTCTCTCTCTCACTCGCGTTAAAATCTGTGGTTACTTTGCTTACAAGTGCAAGTGCTGTAGTGTTCAAACAAACAGTCAACCAATGTAGTCTGCAGCTGCCAACCTTTTGACTCATGCGGAGTAGTAAGCTCAAGGCCTGTGGTAGTGAACATACATGCAACAAGAGTGCAAAGCAAAGTGAAGCATGTAGTTTGACACGGCCCCTCAGTTAAAAGGTCTTTGTAGTACCTTTTCAACTGAAGTGCAAAACATGGATTGACAGTAGTGATGAAAACCATTGTTGTTCATCAATTCTACTGTATTGGCAAAAGTAGTGACCTGCGCTCAGTAGTTCACGCTGTTCAGGTTCCAGCTCGATGTAGGGCGCTGGACGGAAGTAGTGAAGGCAGGCACTCGTTGTAGTAGAGCAGGAGCTCAAAAATGTAGTCCCCATTTCTGGGTGCGGTAGGCTTGGACCATCTGTAGTCGACTGTCCAAGGTCGCGTAGTAGTTGGTGGTGAAAAAGGTTGTCATGTAGTTTTGGAGCTCCCCGTAGTCGCTCATCATCAATCTCGGGACACGACATGTGTTGGTCGTAGTCCCGTAGAAAGCGGTGTAGTAGTGCTTTGTGGTGTTGTGTGAGGTTGGTCATTGTGAGTAGTGTGAATCCGTAGTATTGGATGCTTTTGCAGAGGATTGTAGTGATTGCTTTGTGCTGGAAGTCGTGTAGTTGGTCTCGGTTGTAAAGGTAATGGAGTAGTTCAGGTAGAAGTAGTGGCATGTGGTAATTCCAAACGTAGTTGTTCCTGAGGCTGTAGTTGTCAGTGAAGGTGGTCATGTTGTAGTTCACCTTGAAGATGGTCTGTGGCAGTGTTGTAGTCGGGAGGTAGTAGTTGTGTTGTACCGACATCATGTAGGAGATGTAGTCCCTTGTGAAGTGTAGAAATTGTCCTGAAGTGAGGTACCTCAGGAGTAGTGGTTGTTCAATCTGGAGTTGGATGATGACGTAGTTGGTGTTGTCGCCAGTTGTAGTGTGGAGTGAAGTTGTGTGGTAGTAGTGGACGTTGGCTGCTTCAGGTAGTGAAATGCTGAGCAGTGTGGAATTGTAGTGTGGCATCCGAAGATCTCCAGGGATGCAGTGAATGGGTCGTGTGTAGTCCAGTTGTGCCAGTGGAGTAGCTTGTTGTTGTGAGAGTAGTTGATACTCTTCAAGTGTAAATGCAGTGAAAAATTGAGTGTAGGGAATGTTGTCGGGCAGTGGTGGTGCAGTGGTTGTCTGGTGCTCAGTGATGTGTAGTTGGTCCATCACTGTGGTCGGGTTGTAGTAGACGGTGTTGCCGGGTGTAGAATGGTTGAAGTGGTAGTTGGAGTCGTTGTAGGTTTGAGGTGGTGGAGTTCCATGGTCACTGGAGTCTGTAGTGACCGCCACCTCAGGTGTAGTCGCCCTGTCGGGCGTAGTGGCGTCTCCCATCGTAGCATCTGCAGTAGATGGAGCGGCCATGGCTGCAGTGGAATGCAAAATGTAGTGAAACGGGGCAAAACAAATGAGCCTAAGTAGTTGCTACCAGGCAGTCGGCGAATGCAGACATGTAAAACAAACAACTGTAGTGTTGACTCAAGCCGCCAAAAGTGCAAGTGAAAGTACATGTAGTTACTGTTACTTACATACCAAAAGTGTCGTGTTACATGTAGCTACTTACATACATGAAATGTCCAAAGTCGTTGTTGTTGTTGTTGAAACTGCTGTGCTGGTCGTTCGTAGTGCTAGATGCGTATTCCAATGCTCTGGATGAGCCTGTGTAGTGTTTCTTTGCTGATGTATTTGGTAAACAAATCTGCGCTGTTGTGGAGTGTGTTGATCTTAAGGATTCTGATGATGTCGTGCTTGATGAGGTCTTGTGTGTAGAGGAATTTGAGGTCGATGTGTTTTGCTCGTTTGCTAGTGCCTTGTCGTGTGGCAATGCTCTTGCCTGCTGTGGAGTCTGTGTGGATGCGTAGGTTTAGCTTGCTGCAAATGTTGGTTTCAAGTAGGAAGTTTCTGAGGTGTAGTCCCTCATTAACTCCTGTGCAAATGGCGTAGAGTTCAGACTCTGCTGAGCTAAGTGCTATTGTAGCTTGTGTTCTGCTGCCAAATGCAACTGTTGTTCCTAGAAAGATGATGTTGAAACCTGAAGTTGATTTCCTGGTAGTAGGGCATCCTGCCCAGTCGGCATCGACATGAACGTCGAGATCCAGGATGTTGTTGGTGTTTGCTCTGAGTGTTGTTGTTGGTTCTATGGTGAATTTGTAGTGCTTGGTGCCGTGCAAGTAGCGTAGTAGATGTTTGACTCTCTTTTGCAAAAGTTCTGTAGGTGCTGTGAGGTCTCGTGCTAGTTCTTTTGTGGAGTACGCAATGTCTGGTCGTGTGTATGCTAACCATTGAAGTTTGCCAACAATTCTTCTGTACCTTTTGTGTTATTCGTGATCAAGTAGTGCTTCATCTTCTATTGTTGGTTTGTAGTGTGCAATTCCTGGAGTGTTTACTGAGTTGCAGTTGTTCATTCCAGACTCCTCGATCATGTTGTCGATGTAGGAGTCCTTTAGTCCAAGATTGCAGTAGTTGCCGAAGTGGTCGATGTTTCTTCCAAGAAATTGTTGTGGTTTGCCAGGTTCGAGGTAGCCGATGTGCTTGAGTAGTACCTGCTTCTGGACGGCCTCGAAAGTGGAGTCGACTGCGGTCTTGTCTCCAAGTACTAGTAGATCGTCCACGTAGACCATGATGTAGCAGTCGCGAGTCGCATTGGTGTAGACGTTGGGTTCTGACTTTAGTCTTACAAAGCTGAGCTTTTGTAGAACTTCAGCCAGGTAGTCCTGCCATGCTTTCGGTGAACTGCGTAGTCCATACATGGCTTTCTTTAGTCGCCAGATTTTGTCCTGTTGTGGACAAAGTTCTTTAGGTGGCCAAAGGTAGACGTCACGTTGTTTACCGTCGTGGTCTTTTGCGATGGGTGCGTGTAGAAATGCTGTAGAGACGTCACCTAGTCGCGCGATCCAGTTTGGTCGTGACATTTGTAGTGCGAGAAGTGTCCGGAGTGTCGTGAACATTGGTGTAGAGGCGTAGACGGAGTCTTCGTCCTCGATCTTCTCGGTGTAGCCTTTTGCGACGATTCGGCTTCGTACTCCTGGTCCTTTCTTTCTGTGTACCCATCTTGTAGGTATCGCTTCTCTGATGACGTTGTCGTTGACGGTAGACGCATCTACTTCGTCGTAGACGTCGTGTAGTTTCATTTGGTTTGACTCGTGTTTCATTCCTTCCAGTAGTTGTGTTTCGTCGTAACCTTCGTTGTCGAAGATTATGGGTTGGTCTTCTGAGGTGTCGTCGTTTGTGTAGGGAGTGATGGATTTTCCGTTGGGAAGTGTCACTGCGTTGATTTTCTGTCGTAGTGGTGGTGGTTCTTTGGTTGCTTGTTCCGTTGATCTGATTGTAGTGTCCTTTGAGGTCTTCTGTGCTTTAGTTGGTTGCATTACTTCTTCCGGAGTTAAACGTCGTAGTGTTTGTCGAGGTGGTGCTGGTAGTGGTGGATGTTGTCGTCCAGTTGGTGAAGTAGCCATAGGACTATCCGGTAGTGGTCGTGAACTTGACGTCGATGTGGACGGAAGTCGTGGAGGTGGTGTAGTGCGTTGTTGTTTTGTTGCGGGTTCTGCAACGATGTCGTCCGTCGCATTCGTTTGTTGTCCGAAGTCTTGCGTGGACCTTCTTTTCTCTGACGGTTGTAGTTGCGTATCCAACAGTGTTGCGAACGATGGGTTGTAGGTGTTCCG